TGCCCCCCAATGCCCCATGCTGCCACCGGCCCTGTGGGCCCTCCCACCTCATCTGGCTCCATGTGCCCTGCCCCCCTCCCCCCCGGATCCGCCCCATGCAGCCCACCCCAACCTCAGTGGTGAGGACAGCGCTGCAATGACAGTGGGGACTGAGGGGCCGGGCCCTCTCCCACCCCTGTCCCCCGTGTCATGGGGGAGGGTGCGGGGACAAAGCCTGCGTCCAGGCCCGCCCCCCGCTTCTTCTCCAAACCCATTCCCCCTCCCCATGTTGGATCTGGGCCCGTTTCTCCCCTTGCTCCATGGTCACTGCTAGCGGGGAGCAGGTCCAGCACCCCTCCATCTGCTCCGTTGTCACCGCTTGCAGGGATGGGAGGCATGGCCAGTGGCTTGCCCCCACCTCCATTTTTACACATTGCAGGAAACAGGGGGGCGGGGCCAGCAGCACTGGCCCCACCCCTCTCCCCTCCATCAGCTCCATTGTTGTGACCTGCAGGAAGTGGGGGGGCGGGGCCAGCAGTCTGCAGGGAGCAGGGCAGTGGGGGGTCCCCTGTGCCCCAGCTCCATCCCCTATGCCCCTGCCGTCATGGGGCCCCACCATTCCCCCTCTCCCCTCCAGGATGGGCCCACTGCCATCCTCACCCCACCACTTCAGGCCAAGGCTGGGGCCAATGCTGGGGCCTTGACCACCCCCCCACCCCATCACTGCTGTCGCTTTAGGCCATGGGGGGGGCGGAGCCAAGGCCGCACCTGCTGTCCAAACGCTCGCACTCTAATTGGGTGTTTCTGACAACTAATCAAGAGTGAAAATAAAGCGTTATGGACAGACTAAAGCTTTTATAATATCAGAATTGCAAGTTTCTCCACAGAAACTGCTTGAATGATATGACCTTAAATAGAGGAAACACCTTAACTATCACCTCTATGATAAAAGTACAGAAAACAGAACATTAGCCACAAATAACTAAAGTTTGCTAAACTTAGCAACTAGGCCTGTGTGAAGCAGCTAGTATTCGCTTCGAATTTGGCCGATTCGGGGGACAGTGATTTGATTTGGCTATTCGAATCACTGTCCCAATTTGATTCAGCTGAATCTCCGAATCAGCCAGGCCAAGCCAGGCCCATCCTCCGCCTGCTCTCCCAGCCAGGCAATGGCAGTCCCGCCCACCCCAGCTCCTGGCAGTTGTTAGAAAAAAGCCCCGATCCCCACTGCCCTCCACTGCACGAGCCCTGCAACCCCCCATGGGCACTCTGCTTGGGCCAGCTCCGGCCCTTTAAGAAAAAAACAACCAAAAAAACCCCCAGACTCACCGCTCCTGCCGGCGGGGGGCAATTCCCACTGCCCCTATTGCCCTACACCACATGAGGGGCCCTGCATGAGCCCCGAAAACCCTGAGGCCACTAGCAGAAGCGGCAAGTCCAGGGGCTCTTCTTTGCTTTTTTTTCTTGGGACCGGAGCTGACACCTGGGTGGGGGGGGCGACGACACCCATGGGAGGGCCAGGGGAGTGAGAGGGAGCCAGGGGGCTCATGCAGAGCCCCCACCATGCAGCATGCAGCAACTGGTGAGCACTGGGACTTTTTTTTAAAGGGGCAGGAGCTGAGGGAGTGGGCAGGGGTCCCCTGTTGGTAACCTACACTGAACATAACACTAAATGTAACCTACACTGAGCATAACCATAAAAATACATGGCCATATGGGGCAAACATACTGATACAATCCTACCACAAGGATAAATTAGAGAAGCCCATCTGAATAAGATATATACTACTGTTCATTGTGCAGAGTCCCCCTCAATGCCGACTCTTTTTCAAGTCATGGTGAGCCACTGAATCAAATACATTTCTACTTCCTCTTCACTCCCACAGCTGAGCTGTGTTTTTCTTTCCCTTTTCCAGTGATTCCTGTTTCTTCACCAGCCTTAAAAGTCTGGCAAACATCAACAAACGGGGCTCCTAACAGTTCACCCAGAATCCCTCTGCTGCCGCCTCTGTCTGTTGCATATGATTAGTGTGGCCCCGCCACCCAAGAAACAGAGCCAGACTAGGTTGCCCTGCACTTCATCTGCATATACATTTTTGAAGGATCCCAGGACTTATGACTGGAACCGGGAGTTCTTGTCACAAGTGGAGGGCTAATTACCACGTGGACCTTTGGAGGGGGAGAAAGGTAGAGGGGGCATGTCTAAAGCATACACACATATTGAGTAGTGTTGAGCTATGGGGTCACTGTGGCTTGAAATGCTGTTGAGTTTGCTGGGGCACAGCCCAATGAACTATATGATAAATCATGGGCTTTGGACTAACATCATACACAGTTTGTATTATACATAAGTAGATGCCGAAGTGGTGCTAAAACTTGCAACAGCTTCAAAAAAGGGTAACTTGCATCAATTCTGGATGAACCAAGTCTATGGGTACCCACAGTAATTTGCCTATATGGAAATTACTACAGGCATGTTTATTTCATAGAATCATAAAAATTAGGATTAGAAGGGACCTCAGGAAGTCATCTAGTCCAACCCCCTGCTCAAACCAGTACAATACCCAACCAGATCATTCCAGCCAAGGCTCTGTCAAGCCAGGCCTTAAAAATCTCCAAGGATGGAGATTCCACCACCTCTCTGGATAACCTGTTCCAATGTTTTATTACACTCCTAGTGAGAAAGTTTTTCCTATTATCTAACCTAAACTTCCCTTGCTGCAACTTGAGACCATTACTCCCTGTTCTGTCATCTGCTACCACTGAGAACAGTCTAGCTCCGTCTTTTTGGAACCCCCCCCTTCAAGTAGTTGAAGGCCGCTATCAAATCCCCCCTCTGTCTTCTCTTCTTCAGAGAAATAAGCAGTTCCTTCAGCTTCCATATCTATTTTCATTGCCCTCTGCTGGAATCTCTCCAACTTGTCTACATCCTTTCTATAACGGGGGCCCACTATAATTTCAAATTCAGTGTTTTCACATTAGCCCCTCACTTCCACATGCTCAGGGAGAGCAGAATCTGACACTGGGGTGGGGAGGGGGGAGACACTGCAGGGGGAAAGAAGTTTGGGAGAGGTGGGGGCAGAGGGCAAGGACACTACCGGACCTCTCCAAATTTATTTTCCCAGCTGTAGCAGTGACAGGGGGCCAAATTCAAGGCAAACCTCCAGTAATTAGATCAGGTGCAGGCAATTATTTTGGGTGGAGGGCTGCTTAGCAAGTTTTGCCAAGCTGTCAAGGGCCACATGGGTAACCCCACCCCTTGCCCCACCCCTGATCGCCATCTTGGGACTGGAAGTCCCACCCTGACCTCTGACCCTTGCCCCTGGAAGTACTCCTTCAGAGAAGAGGGTTTTTGCTATCTTAGAACCGGGAAAAAAAAAACAAATTATGTACCAAAAATCAAATACCCATAATATTATATTTTAATTCAATTAAAAAATATATTTTTGTCATCATACCTGTGTGTTTGTGCTTTATAAGTAGAAGTGATTGCATAATAGCTCAAAATGTAGTCTTACTCTTGTATAGTGTGTGGGGTGTGCAGCGGTGTTGGGGGGTATAGGTGAGTGGGTGGATGTGGGGTTTGTGGGGAGATGTGGATGTGTGTGTAGTATTTGTGGGATGTGTGATTATGCCTGGAGGGGGGTGTGGCTGTGGCGTTTGCAGGAAGGGTTGCAAGGGGGGGAGCCAGCCGGGTACTTGCTGCCCCAAGCTTCATGGCCGTGTTTGCGCTCCGGCAGCTTCTGCTACTGCCAGGAGGCCGGGGGATAGCAGGAAAGGGCCTGTCAGGCTTAAGGGCCAGTGTGGGGGACTCCTGGAGCCACTGGAGGTGGCACGAGTCAGTGGCAACATGGCCCGGGACATAGGAAGCCCAAGGAGGTTGTGCAGAACTTGCATTGCGCGTCTGAGGCTTGGGGTAGCAAAGGCTTGGCTGCCCCACCCCCAAAGGTGACCTGGGGGTTGCCACCACCCCGGTGGGGATGGCCCAGCCCCCCCACACCCTGCAGGGACCCAGCAGCCTGACAGGAGCTTGCCCCCCGGCCCTGGGACAGGCAGGGAGGCGGCGCCAGGAGCCAGAGCAGAGCAGCAGCTGTTTTTCTGCTTTAGAAGCTCCTGCAGCTTCCAGGAGGCCGGGGGCCCTGGGAAGCTCCTGTCCAACCCTGGGGCCAGTGCAGGGGACCACCTGAGGCCAATGGTGGCGGCACTTGGCCCAAGATGCGGCACGGAAGTTGCATCTTGCGCCTGAGACTTGGGATGCCAACAGCCTGGCTGCCGCCACCTTGGGGGGAAGCCCGGTCCCCCCTGCCTCACAGGGGCCCAGTGGCCTGGCAGCAGCTCATCCCCCCAGCCTCAGGACGGGCAGGAGGCTGCGCCAGGAGCTGGATCGGAGCCACGGCTGCTTTTTTCCTCTGAAAGCTCCTGCAGCCTCCCCGAGCTTCCCGCGCACTAGGCCAGGACCCTGCCAGGTTGTGCCACCCCCCAGCAGCCTCGGGAGGTAACCCATGCTGCCCCTGGGGTTAGCCAGGCACTTCCCCAGGGCCCCTGGGCTCCTCCCATCCACAGGAACTTCTGGAGCAGAAAAGTGGCTGCGGCTCCCCCTCCACTCCTGGTGCAGCCTCCCCACCCATCCTGGGACCAGGGAGCGAGCTGCTGCTGGGCCCCTGCAAGGCAGGGGGGCCCGGGCCTTCCCCCCGAGGCAGCAGCACCCACTGGAGCCTCCCGTGAGGGGCAGCCAGGCAGTTGCTGCCCCAAGCTTCAGGTGCGGGATGGAAGTTCCCCACTGCCTCCCTGCACCCTGGGCCATGTCCCCACTGGGCCATGCTGCCCCCAGCAGCCCCAGGTGGCCCCTGTGCTGCCCCCGGGGCCAGACAGGGGGGTTGGGAGCCAGTGACAGCCAGGCAGTGCCCCGGGGCCAGTGCTGGCAGGAGCCCGGGGTGCAGCTGCCTTGGCTCCATGGAGCCGGGCTGGGCTGCCCCAGCAGGGAGAGAGGGGAGCCACCCCACTCTGGGCCCTGCCAGCGCTGGCTCCCGCACATCCCCTCGCTCCCAGCCTCCCGCCCCAGCCCCGTGGCCAGACGGGGACCAGTGTGCCCCCCGACCCACTCTTACCTGAGCTTCCCGCTCCAGCACGGGCAGGAACAACCACATGGTCCCTGGCTGGGGGGCTGGGGCGGGGAGGGCCCTGCCCTTCCAGGGTCCTGACTTCTGCTGGGTCCTAAGGCCCCTGGCTCCTGTCACTTTTGACTGGAGCCAGAGGCAAATAAATATTAATTTTTAAAAAATTTCTCAGGGTCCTGCAGGCTGGACAGTATCTGGAGCAGAACCTAATTCTTAGGAATTCCCTGTGTTAACCACTAGGTCACATTTGCATTAGAAATAGTTAGAAACATGTAAAAGCTGTCATCATTTTTCTTCACAAGACTGCAAAATTCCACATAATTTTCGGTCCTAAATATTTAACTAATGTGCAAGGTCTAGGGTCAATTACACAGTGATTCAGACCTCCTCCTCGGGCATCAGCTTTCGCCTGCCATCCTTTACAGGAAAACCACTCCCAAAGTCCTTGGATGAGATATCAGCTCCATATTCCACAATGACATCCTCCTCAATGCTGCTCACCAGTCGCCAGAACTCCTTCTCTACCAGCTCAGTAGGAACCATCTGAAAAGACAAAGGCATATTAAAGTGCAAACCAATTCAACCAGCCTACTACACATCAACCAACAAAACGAAGGGAATATGAAATAGATGCGTCCAGATGCCAGAGAGCTAAATCACCTCTTAACCAATTTCAAATTAACAGTGTCCCTTTAAATTAAGTCAGGAGATTCCCAAAAGAAACTCAAGAGTCAGATGATATACATCTCTTTCCCCAGTAAGAGATCACAAAAAATTGGGATATACTCACATGGACTGGCATGTTGAAGTAATCAGACTTGAAATTATCTGCCATTTCACCAAAACTCTGGAGAGTGTACTCCCTCACAGCTTGCTCAAATCCAAAGGCCTCACGTGGCTTATTACACTCCTAGGAGAAGCAATGTAAGTTATCACTCACTGCAGCGAATCATGCCAAGCAGACTTTTTCCTACTGGAATATACTAGTGTATGTTTCTCTGCCAAATGAACACACAAACTGTTGCTTTCAAGTGGTTTCTCCAGACAATATGGTTCCTGCCACATTGGAAATTGAGCAATTAACAACTGGGAAACCAAACCAAAGTGTTCAGTAACAATGTCACGCAGATCCACTGCACTCCTAAAGGCTGAAACTCAACACCTGCTACAACAGGCATCGGGGTGAGAAGGAGCAGAAGGAAGATAGGGAGGCCACACTTCAACTATGAGGATTTTATGCAAGGTCCTGGCATTAAGACAAGCATCTACAGCAGAGCCACTTGGCACAGATCCCACAACTGCTTTTATCTTAGTAAATTAGCAGCTGCTTTGGCTGCAAGAGGGAAAATTTACGTGGGGAGAAGAAGGAAGAGGGCTTTACCAGATAATTGCCTTTAACTATTTTTACATTATCTAGATAATAATGAGCTGTTCACTTAGCATGCAGAGCTTCAGAGGAGCTTTCTTCCTTGTCTTACACCAAAAGGATGGGCAACAAGAAACTTTGTCATATCTTCACTGCTTCACCCTGCTTAATGATGCTTTTGCCAGCACATCTTGAGCCCTACAACATTTACATGTACAGAAACAGGTCTGGACTGGCAAGCATGTGGACAAATTGAAGGCTAGCTACTTTTATGGACGTACGAAATGTAAGGCAGGAAGGGACCTCAGTCAGGGAGCCCCTGCTTTAAGGCAGAAGCAAGTATAACAGCTAGACCATCACTGACAAATATTTGTCTAGCCTATTCCTAAAGGCTTCCTAATGTCTAGAGTTCCAAAACCTCTCTCAGTAACCTTTTCTAATTTTTTAAGACATAGAAAGTTTGTCCTAACAGCTCATCTGATTTTCCTTTCCTGTAATTTAAATGCTTTACTTCATTTTCTGTCCTCAGTCAGCATTTTCTTTATAACCACCGTTTCCACATTTGAGTGCATTAAGTTTTCCCTCAGACTTCTCACATCTAGAAAACCATCAAACCCAATTATATTAATGTTTCCTCAATGGCCAATTATCTTTGTTGCACTCCTCTGGTCTGTGTAATTTGTCTACATCTTTCCTAAAGTGTGGTACCCAAAATTTGACGCAATACTCCAGCTGGCAACTCATCATCCATGTTATTAACAGAAATACTGAATGGCACCAAACCCAGGTTAAACCTCTTCTAATCACATCTGATCCACTCTCTAGTTTGAAAGCAAATCATTAATAACATCATCGGGGTATAATTTTTTGCACCACCAACACACTCATCTTGCAGTAGCTTCTATACTGTTTTCCTTAGTTTACTTATGAAACTACCATAAATAAACCACCATGTGGTAGAACTGTGTCAAAAGCCTTACCAAAGTCAAACGACATCACATCTCCTGCTTGTCCCCCCTACTCACTACACTAGTTACCCTGTCAAAAGGAATTTAAACAGACTTGTCAGAAACAAAATCACATTGAACCAATGCTGGCTGTTTCTCATTACCATATTATTTTCTAAGAGTTTACATTTTAGTTCTTTAATAATTTGTTTTAATATTCTTTCTAGATAATGCAGTTCGGAAAATTGGGTTTTTATTCCCTACGTCCATCCTAGCCACCCCTTTTGGAAGACACATACTTTGTAGGAAACCTTTTTTGATTTTAAGATTGTTAAAGGTTCCTGGATGCACCTCTACAGGTCTCATATGCTGTCTCTTTCCTCCACATGAGGAAAGTCTGCTGTTGTGAGTTTAATACCATTTCTTTGAACCTGCCTGCTCTCCTGAATTCCTTCTCCCTTGGGAATTCCTTCTCCTGAGACCCTGCCTATTAAAGTCTGGCTTTGTGAAGTTTACTGCTGTTATTCTGCTGCTGTCAACTTCTTTTTTCAAAAACCAGGAATTATGTCATTTCACAATCACTTTTACCCAAGCTCCCTTCCATCCTCAACCTTCCAGATTTACTTGAATCTAAGATCACTCTAAATTTAAGATGACCCTCCAATAATGAGATTCTATACATAGAAAAATTATAAATCTGTTATAATTTTCCATGTATAGAATCCAATTATTGGAGGGCTGCTTTTAAATCATCTCCCCGGACACTGCTGCAGGGGAGAGGGCAGTGGAGGGGTCAAACAGCTTGCCTCTTACTTGTGCCTGCTCCTCTTGCCTCTTCCCCCCAACTTGCGCTCCCCCTTCCTCCTAGCCTCTCTGTTCGTCCCCTCCTTCCCTGCCAGCCTCTGCTCCCTGCTTCCCTCCTCCCCTTATCTTCACACCACGCCAACAGGCTCTGTCCCTGTTCTAGCCTGAAGCACTGAGCATGGCCCCAGCCCAGCCCAACCCCATAGCAGCTGTGTAGGCTACATGTTGCTACTATGGGATGGGATGGGGCCATGCTCAGTGCTCCAGGCTGCAGCATACATGAAGTTTTCCAGTGTGAAGCAAATGTAGGTGTAGGGGCAGTCAGGAGAACAAGGCTGCTGGGGTGGGGGGGAGAAATGGTAAGGTGTGGGAGCAGGGGAAGGCAGCAGCTGTGGCAACTGCCCCAAACCCAGGTAGGGGCTGAAGCCAAAGCCACAGCAGCTGCGTACCCCCACTTCATATGCAATTCTAAGATGAGGAGTTCTCCCCCTGCTCCCTCCCCCATGTTAAATAGGGGAAAACGTAGTCTTAAAATCAAGCAAATATGGTATTCCTCCCTGTTAGTTAGAATCAAATCTAAAATATTGTCCCCTTTAAATTACTTCCTTTATCACTCAAACATAGAAGTTCAAGAACTTTCTGGACAGGCTTGTCTGGTCAGATTACTTTTTCAGTAAATATTCATGTAGTTAAAAAGCCCTGTTGTGACCAGATCCTGTCTTTTGGATGCTTTTCTGTTAGTTGCTGGCGTAGTGCCTTGTCACCAGCTCTTTTTGATTTAGCGGTCTATTATACTCATCTGTTATGGCATCACACCTGTTCTTTTCCCCATTCATCTCCATCCAAACATTTGTCAGGTCTGCCTTTTTCCTTTTTCTTATTATAATGGCTCACGGTCAATGCCAGGGCTTCATAAAAGTCATCTGCCCACAAATTTTTAGATATCATGCATGTGAATGTACCACACTCTGGAGCAGACACGCTTGTACTAAACAGCAGCTTTGTTTTATTAGAAAAAAAGGCTGCTGAGCGCACCCAACAAATTCAGTTCACACTGTGGTAATACCCCCAGATATACACAAAACTACACATTCTCCTGCAGTGGCAAGAGAAAGAAAGCTGAAATATCCTGGTATACTGTTCTCCTCAATATCATTCAAGGATGAGGCAAGTTTGAGTAGGTCTGGGACTGTACCTCAGCAACACACTTTGGGCACCTCCAATCACCTTTGGGCACATCAGGCAAAGGGGGAATCAGGCAAAATGTGTGGTAGCTGTCATCACAACCATCACAGAGTAACAGTCTGTCCTCGTTGTTTCCTCGGCCACAAAACAAGCAAACGTATAGATCAACCTGTAGAAAAAAAGTAAGAGCCCAGTCAAAACCAGCCTCCAGCATCCAACAGCTGTCATGCTAAAGTCTTACTATACATATAGCAAAGTACACACTAAAGAAATCTGATACTTGGACACTATGTAATCTCTACACCCTACTGAGAATGCACAAACCATCATCAGGCTTCTGCTTCCCAGGCCCAATATGTCTGTGATCTAAAAGCACACAAGATGATGGGGAGTGAAAGAACTCTCACCCAATCTAGCTCTAGAAGGAAAAAGAACATCAATCAAGCATCACGAGGGCAGAAACCAACTCGAAGCAACAATTCATTTATGTCAATTTTAAATTCTGGTGATGGCCTTCCCTCTCTGGGCCCCAATGATTCATAGAAATTAGGGGTTGGAAGGGACCTCATGAGATCATCAGGTCCAGCCCCCCCACTCTAAGGCAGGAAAGACTGCTGGGGTCAGATGACCCCAGCGAGGTATGCGTCTAGTCGTCTTTTAAAGATCTCCGGTGAAAGTGACTGTACCACCTCTAGGGGGAGTGTGTTCCAGACCTGGACACATGAACCATAAAGAAGTTTTTCCTTATGATTAATCTGAAGCGATTTTCTATCAAGTCTATGAGCATTATTCCTGGTCTTCCCCTGGGAAGCCTTGGTGAATAGATGTTCTCCTAGCTCCTGAAGTTCACCCCTTATATACTTAAAGGCTACCACCAAGTCCCCCCCTGAGTCTTCTCTTTTCCAGGCTGAACAGTCCCATGTCCTTCAGCTTCTCCTTGTGTGGTCTGCTCTCCAGACCTCTAATCATTTGTGTGGCCCTCCTTTGGACTTTTTCCAGCTTCTCTACATCTCTCTTGAAGTGCGGTGCCCAGAACTGTATACAGTACTCCAGCTGCAGCCTCACCAGGGCTGAGCAGAGCGGTAGGATGACGTCCTTAGTCTTGCCTGTGAGCATCAGTTGATACATGCCAGAGCTTTGTTCGCATTGCTGGCTAAACCATTGCACTGGTGGCTCATGTTCATTTTGTGGTCGATCATGACCCCTAGGTTGTGGTGCTGGCTAGTGTAGCACCACCAAGCCTATAAGTATGTTGTGGATTATTTCTCCACAGATGGAGCACTTTACATTTCTCAGTGTTAAACATCATCAGGTTTAGATCTGCACACTTTATATGCTGAAGGCTAACTCTAAATACATTCCTATGGGGAATGACACTACAAGAGAGCCTCCATAACTAGCTCAGAAGTAGGCACTGCATCATTAGCAGCAGCACAAACTGTGACTGCATTTGAATTGGTTATCAAAATCAGGGACAAGAACAAGCCACAGCAGGAACAACACAGGAAATTTCAACCTGAGAATGCTACAAGTACAGTAGGGGTATGCGGAATGGCCTGCAGTCGATTCAGATTCGGCCCAAATTGGGAACAGTGATCCGATTTGTTGATCTGGATCACTGTCCCGATTTGATTCAACCGAATTTGAATCGGAAGATACAATGCTGATTCGGAAAATTAGTGATTCGGCCACAGACACAGCTTTAAACTGTTTTTCTACATACCTAGAGGTACCAGGCACAGCTCATGAATGCTGCAATGGTGGGGTGAATGGAGTGTCCCACAGGAGCTCAGCCCCACCCCACCCCCCGGTGATCAGCCACAGGGGGACCCCAGGTGCCCCCACCTCCACCCCAGGAGACAGTCACCGGGGGGGCCTCTCCCGCAGACCCGGAAGTGGACTCCTGTGGAATGCTCCATCCACCCCACCATCGCAGCATTCACAAGCCGCCTGCTACCGTGAAGTATATAGAAAAAACAGTTAAACCTGTGTGTCTATGTCCGAATGGCTGAATCTTTCCAAATCTCTCCAAATCAATTCAGAGGGTTCCCATTTGATTCAGAGAGATTAAAAGGTCTTCTGATTCAATTCAGATTCAGAGATTTGGCCACCAAATCAGGCCAAATCTCCGCCAAACTGAATCAGGGAGCAAAGTTTCGCACAACCATAATGTACAGGCACAAACCTCTCTCCCTTCTCTTTCACTAATCTAGGCCAGGGGTGGGCAAATACATCCCGTGAGCCACATCCAGCCCGGCAGGCTATTCTATCTGGCCTGAGGAGACCCTAAAAAATTTAGAAAATCAATATTTATATGCCCCTGGTTCCTGTCAAAGATAACAGAGACAGGGACAGTAGGACCCAGAGGAAGCCCCAGCAGGCGGCTGCAACAGGAAGGCCTGCCCAGCCCCACGCCCCCAACCCACAACTTCTGGCCTGGGACTGTGGAGCTGTTCATGGCTGCGCCAGCACGGGAAATTCAGGTAAGAAGCAGGCGGGGG